TCTTCCTATACAGGCTGTGGTCTTTTGCTCAGCTTGCAGAGCCTTCCTGATGCCCACAGTGTTAGTGAGTTCTCTTCTGTTAAGCTGGTATCAAGAAGCGCAGACTCTGTGGGACCAATTGTATTAGTTTAGGCTAATTCTGCTATAGCAACATCTTGAGTACTGCTGATGAAATCTAAGAAGATTAAACTCCACATAATCTGGGGATCTTCATGTAAGTGAAGTTCAAATTACCATAAGCTTTTCAAATCATTGATCTGAGGATCAGTAAGAAGGGAAAAATAATTCAAACTAGCTCAAGTTGCAAATCTTTGGGTCTTTTTTTCCCCCTTTTTTCAGTAAAAGCCTTTAAAGATGCTTTGGAATAAGAAAGTTATTCTTGTTCTACCTTCTTAAGGGAAAGAAGGGAAGAATAACTCAAACTAGCTCAAGTTGCAAAGATTTCGGTTCCCCCCCCTCCCTTTTTTTTTTTTTTATTTCAATAAACCCCCTTAAAGATGCTTTGGAATAAGAAAATTGTTCTTTTTCTACTTTCTTAAGAGAAAAAAAGCTTTGAAAGGAGCTGAACAATTGTGTCTCGTCCTCAGTTAACATGTGGTTACATTGGATTTATAGAGGCTATTAAAATGCTAAAAGTCACTGATTGATTATTTTAATGCTCTCTCACTATTTCAATAAAGATTGCTTTTGAAATAGAACTCTTTCTTAACGGCACTACCATTTTGCTAAAAGTGGATGTTGTAGCTTCTTACTTTTTTATCCATTAGAAATGAGGAAATATATTCATGGTGTTCAGTGGGTATGTCCACATACAACAGGAACAAGCCAGCAGGCCCAAAGTACCATCACATCGCACATGTTTTCACCCTATTTAAGGTTTACGAATTTGTAACAAATTTTCTGTGGATTTTCAGACGTTATGGTGACAGTAATTCTACTGACATTAAGCTTGCTTTTCTGTGTTGTCATTTGTGGTTCTCTTAGATGCAACGTGCAATTGTATAGTAAGTATTCCACAGGCCTTAGGTGGACACCACTTGAATTACCCTGTTTCCCTATGACATTGATCTAGAGGACCGGGCAGGGTTTTAAGTATGCCATCTGTCAGACTTTGATCAACAAACAGAATATGAGAACCACTTGTTATCTGGGAAGTGAAGTCTGTAGTACCTGGGAGAAAATAAAGAGCACCTTCCTACCACTCTTCTCAGCTGTGATTTGCCACTGCATCTACAGTTCACCTCAGACCTTTCGAAACAGGCTGGCTCTTCTCTTGCCTAGGAGTCTGACGGGGTTTCAGATCTCAAGCTTGGAGCTTCATGGCTCCATGGCCATGCTTAGAGATTTGAGGTGACATTGACAGGGGATGGTTCTTTGGTGCACACTGCACCACTGACATCCTCCAGAATGGAGTGGTCTCATCCAATTAGCCTGTACTGACAGCCAAAGCATGCCAGGGAATCATTTGAGTGATAGCTGTGTTGGGTCAAGCCATTTCAGAAGTGCTTTAACACTGACTGACTTCCCGTGCCCAGGAACATTTTCAGCTATGGTTTTATTAAAATAGGGACATAGCCTAAGTGTGTGTCTGTGTCAGACAAATTTAGAGCTCAGACAGGAGCCATATACTTAAAAGTGACCAAATTACTTTTCTGAAATATTTTATGTTGATAATATTACAGAATTAATATTGTCATTTAAATGAAATACATTGTCTTTAGTCATTAAAATAGACCTTTTGAGGCTTTTTATCCACAGTTTCAGAAGTTTGTCACAGATAACATTTGCCTGTGAAATGTTTTTATTACAATAAATGCATCTTTGGAAGGTGGAGTGTGCTGGCCATCGGTAAGGAGCTCCTGCACTACCAGTCAAGGAGTGAGCCTCTTCTCCGACCTCAGAGGCAAAGAGGTGTTTTACTCGTAAGGGGAAACTTCTAATTTTAGTAAGAACATCTTTTTTTCTTGCTAAATCTCTACTGCTGCTTTGAGATGAATTGCAGTGGATTACCATAATAATACTGTAATAGACCACCTGGACAATGTTAATAATGAACTTGATGAAATATCAGTTCTGGAATGAATTTAAGATGAGCTTTTTTCCTGCAGCGAGTAGAAGGAGTTGTATCAGACAGTGAAGAGTTTTTCTGTCACAGATCAGTTATATTCTCTTCAGATAGCTGAGGTACTATATGATCTGAATGCTCACTGTGTACCAACTCTGAGTTGCCATTTTCCAGTAGCAATAGAGCTAAATTTTAAACTTCTATGACCATGAGTGGAGATATGTTATTATGGTGCTTTTTATACTGCAGTACAAGGTTCTATATTTGAAAAGATGGTAATTTTGTGTGTTGTCAGTATAAAGCCCACTGAAGTCATTGAAGGTATTTTCTTTAGCTGAAATTAAGATTTGCTGTATTTCCAATACATTTATAGCTTATTCATAAACACTGTATCTCTTCTATGTGAGAGAGGATGATAGTTCTCTAAGAGTACTGCTTGTTTTCTCATTGCTGGGGCAGCAGGGTTTTGCTGTTGATGTTGAAGCCAGTTTCTTCTCCCTGATAACGTGCTGTAAAAGACTCCTCCTAGGAGGCATTACATCTTAAGTTGGTCCTTTCTCAGTGTCAGGATGTTACCCACATAAGATGCCTGTTCAGGAGCATGAGGAAGATGAAACTTTGGTGGGACTTGCAAAAGGAACATGCAGAATATTCTAAGGAATAATTTGTCTCCCAGCGTGCAGGCATTGGGCAAGAAAAAAGAGGACCTTTTTGTTTCATATTACTCAATTTAAAGAATATGCTTTTCTGGCTACATAAATCTTACTTAAGTGTAGATTCCAATAGATTGAATATGGCTTCTTTTATAAAAGCTTAAAAGTGGCCTATATTATGAAACTTCAGTTAAAAGTTGTTTGTTCCTTATGTGATTTATGCCTGAGCCTTCTTTAATAAAGGCTATGAATCAGCAGTGGCTTAATATCCTTCAGTCAAAAACACCTTTACCATCTACTTCAGATTCTTATTTTAAAGGATGCAAAATATGCTACTCACAAAATTGTTTCAATGTATTTAAAAATTAAAACGGACAAATTTCATTGTCTCATGAGAGTCTTGAAAAGCCTTCATTAGCAAATTTTAGTTCCATTGGCCACCATGAGCATCTGTCCGTATCCGTGGTCTCTGTGGTGCACTTTTTGATCTAACACGTTGTCCCTGCTGCATATCACATAGCTTGCAAAATATAAAAATGAACCATCCATAAAAGATAATTGTAGTAGCTTCATTTCCAATTTATTAGTATGGCGTTGGGAATTGTTTGTCTTGAGAAATCACATTAATCTCTTTTTGTATGTTCCTATGAAACCAAAGTTAACTAAGAAAAATTTCATGTGGAAAAATATTCTTTGTCTTTCCAAAATATGGCCATGCTTAAAATTCAGAACCAGTTTTGTGTTGCATGAAAATTCAAATGGAACAGAAAATTGGAACTATACATTAAATGAATAATAATTGTCATTTTTTCACCACTTATGCTAACATCTTTAATTGTAGTGAATTAATTGAGTATGAATATGGTGCTATGCATTGCTGTTAGCAACACTTTTGTAATTCAGTAGTAATTAATATACTACTATTGCACAGTGCAGCCACATTTTCAGATTTATTCTCCATTCAGATTCATCCTTTTTCTCCATTGGCCAAAGAGAAAATAGGTACAGCATTAAAGTTTTGAATACTTTCATGCCAGAAAAATACTTAGTGTTTTCGGTTACATTCTGTTCCACCAAAATGTCGGTTTAAATTATTTTTCTACTATTAAACTTTTGGCTGATTGTGGCTGATTTCAGCTGATTGAATCTATGACCTTTGGGTCATAGAGTCACACAGGTGGGAAGGGACCTCTGCAGGTCTGTGTTCCAATCCCTTGCTGAAAGCAGGTCCAATTACAGTGTCCCATAGCATCTCTAAGCCTCTGTTCCTTTGTTTTACCACCCTCATGGTAATAAGTAAGTAAGTAAATAAATAAAATTCTTCTGTCTGCTCACAGCTTCCTTTATTCCAGCTTCTGGGCATTGCCTTTCATCTTATTGTGGTGCATCCATAAGGATAGCCTGGCTGTGTCATCTCTGCGCCCTCCCAGTGGTGACATTGCTCCAGTCACCGATGAGATTCCCTTTGCCTTCTCTTTGGAAGACTGAGGAAAGCTGGCGCTCTCAGCCTCTTCTCATTTAGCGTGCACTCCAGCCCCCTCACTATCTTGTTGGTCTTCGCTGGACTTTCTCCAGCGTGGCAAAGTCTTACAGATAACTTGCTCTGATATTAAAGGAAGGTAGTATGTATATAGCAAAATAATGGTATTCCGTGACCTCCAAAGTCCATCAAAATCTTTCAGAATCTTTCTATTGTCTTTAATAGATTCTCAACCACAACTTACTGTTGTTTTGTTTCATGTTGTGCTTAAATAGCTTCAATGGTAACTAGACTTCAGAGCGAGTACAGATTAATTAAATTTCAAATTCCATTTTATAGAATAGCAGGTTCATCTTATGTCACTGGGCAAGCCCAGAAGGGAGTATTTTATTTGGTGGTTTTCTTTTCTTTTTGAGTTCTAAGTCAAAGCATATAGAAGAATGTGATTTAGCTTTTGAAAGTGGATGACAGATTCATTTTTTCATAAAGCTGAACTGAAATAAAATACACCCATAGCAGTTTTGCCCATAGGATATTTTGTTTTAAGAAAATGGCTTTCTTTTGAAGGGTGTGGGATAGAGCATGGTTTCAATTCCTGTAGAAAATGGTACATTTATAAATGCGTATTTTATTGCTAACACCATATGGCTAGATGTACGTTATAAAGGACATTCATGCTAGCAGGCTCAAAAAGTGAATGTGTAATGTGTCTTTAAACTCAAAGGAACTGAAAGTCAAAAATTAATTGAGTTCTTTTTCTTTTTGATATTCCAGTGTTGATCTTTCTGTTTTCTCTTGTAAGGAACCTTTCTCTGAAGCTGTCCAAGGAGGTAGACCAAGGAGAAGCCAGGTACCCTCGTGTTAGCCAGCTGGCTGGCAGCCCCTCTGTGGAGTGGCCTTTTACTGGTCTGGAAGAAGGTGGAGGCATTGAATCTTTACCCTTCAGATTGATGCTGCAAGACTGCACAGCTGTAAAGACATTGCTTCTGAAAATGAAGAGAGTTCTTCAAGAGGTAATCACCCACTCATTTGTTTAAATTAATAGCTTGCACCATTAATGAGCTAAGCAGCAGAAAAGGGTGAGAAAAGTTTATGGACTCGATGTCTTTTAATATGTCTCGAATATATGGAATTGATGCAGAAGTATAAATGGTAGTGCCTCAACATGGTGGAGGTCAGAAAGTTTATACTATAGCAGAATTTAACTGATAGTGCCATCTGATACCACTGTTAATGTGGTATGCAGAGTATAACATTTCTCTTCAGCTTTTACCAAAAAGGGGACAGGGGAGATGAACTACTTTAGATCAAAATAAATTGTACAGTTTTTATCTAATATTTTAGAGCTTTTCGGTTTTCTTACTACATTTTTTAATTGGTATGAAGTCACATGCAATTTATTCAGAGGAGAGATGCAAAGGAAAAGACAGTAAGTCTTTAAGTACTGTCTTTAGCGCTTTAAGTAAGTCTTAGTACTGTCACTTAAGTGCCAGAAATAAAATTAAAGGTTACTAGCTTGTGTTTGTATATGATGGCTGAAATCAGATTTCTTAAGGTATTCCAACAACTTCAAGAGTCCTGGCTTGTCCTATCCTGCTGTATTTTCCTGCTTCCCCCATGGACTGCTGGTGTTGCTTTGAAAATTTGCTTTTGCATCCACTTCCCTTCAGGATTTTAGAAGAAATTAAATTATTATTGTGTTAGGGTTTTTTTTCGACACTTTCCAGCTGTGGAGCTTTGACTCAGATACATTTTTGACAAGCTTTCATCTTTGTGTTAGTGAACTGCAGTGTGTGTCTTCTTTGAGATCTACAAGAAAGATAATTTTTTGTTTGTTTTTTATCTATATAGTTCATAGAATTACAGAATAGTTTAAGTTCGGAGGGCTCTCTGGGGGTTCAACCCCTCTACTCAAAGCAAGGCCAACTTAGAACAGGTTACTCAGGTCCTTGTCCACCTAAGTTTTTGGTGCCACATCATCTCTGGGGAACTGTTCCAATATTTTACTACATCATTGTAATTTTTTTCCCCTAAGATTTAATCAGAATTTCCCTTGCTGCAACTTCATCATATGATGAAGTGCTAGTCATTTAACTGAGACACTTAAATACCAAAATAAGGCTTTGGCAAGTTTGGTTTTTTACTGCTCACTCCTTGATCATCTGTATCTAAATTCAACCAATTATTGTCCTGTCTGAGGTGGTTTGTCAAAGGTTTAGCCGTGACAGTGATCCGTGAGTCCTCCTAAATGGCGCTTTTTTTCTGGTTGACAAGCCCCATGCCTTCCAGTTTCCTTCAGTTCACTAGAAGCTTTATGTATGCCATTGGGCTTTTTAATGAACTTCTGGTTTTGCTGAATTCAGAATTGAAATCATTAATTCTCCATCAGTTCCTGCTTATATAATGTCAGAATATAGACTGAATTTAAAGGTTCTTGTCCAGTGAGAAGGATTTGTAACCCTATTATATATGGAAATAAATAATAAGAATTATAATACTACATGACATAGTGCTTCTAACATTCAGCTGGTAACATTGGCAGCATGCTCTGTTGCTTCTAGTGTGAATAAATCTATGTTTAGCTCAGAAAAGTTCTTTCTTGCCATGATGGTAAGTGTAAGAATTTTATTTTTCATTTATCAAGTTCTGTTAAACTTGTGTAAAAGTCTGCTGTGATTTTCTGTATGGAGATACGTTGTACCTTGTAGTACGTCATCTTTAAAAACATAACTGGGTGATCTCCACAAAAGGAACACAAGATACTTCATGTGACTCACTGGAATTTCATGTCTGGTTACTAATACCTTCTTATGTAACTCATATTGATTTTATTTTTTCATCTTAATCATTCAGTCTTTTACTTTCTTGTTGCTTTGTATCATATAATTTCCATCTCCCCATTTGACTGTAACACAGTGTGATTCTCTCTTTTCCTTTTCTTTTTGTCTCGCCTTCCTTATGAAATCAAAGTGACCTTTTTCTAATTCTACAGTTGGATGTTATATGTGATGCATATATAATATATATATAATGTAATTTACCTCTCTGTTTCTCAGCACCTTTGGATGGAACATGCTAGTAGTAGTACACATTGTTCTACTACACAGCTAAACAAAACTCTTACATAGCTAGAATGAAATGACCAATCTGATGATTACAGAAAACTTCTGCTGCTTTGAGATGTTATTTGTGTTTTGTTTTTTAATGAGCAAGTTGTGTAATATCATAGAATAGTTTAGGTTGGAAAGGACCTTGAAGATTTCCAAGATTTTCCTTGAAGAGTTCCAAGCCCCCTGCCATAGGCAGGGACACCTCCCACTAGACCAGGTTGCCCAAGGCCACATCCAGGCTGGCCTTGAACACCTCCAGGGATGGGACATCTACCACCTCTCTGGGCAACCTGTTCCAGTGCCTCACCACCCTTAAAGTGAAAAACTTCTTCCTAATGTTTAATCTAAACCTGCCCTCTTCCAGCTTAAAGCCATTCCCCCTCATCCTATCACTACATGCCCTAGTAAGAAGTCCTTCCCCAGCTCTCCTGTAGGCCCCCTTTAGGTACTGGAAGGCCACAATAAGATCTCCCCGGAGCCTTCTCTTCTCCAGGCTGAACAACCCCAACTCTCTCAGCCTCTCCTCGTAGGAGAGGTGCTCCAGCCCTCGGATCATCCTCGTGGCTCTCTTCTGGATATGCTCCAGCAGGTCCATGTCTTTCTTATGTTGGGGACTCCAGAGCTGGATGCAGTGCTCAAGGTGGGGTCTCACGAGAGTGGGCCGAATCAGCTCCCTTGACAAACATAGAAAAGATACGGAGAATGCTGTAAAATGGTATGGAAGTGTACTTTTTAGTAGCCCTGTCTGAGAAATAGCTGTTTGATATTCAGTGTAATATTTCAGTTCTACTGATATAAATACACATACTAATTCTTGAAACAAAAAAATTACTTTTCAAGGTCACTGTTAAACTGTACAATTTTCTTATCTCCATAAAGACTTAACAAACCTGTCCACAATACAGTGGGAATTATCCATGGTATAATTGCAGGAGATTGAGAGAGCAGTAACAACAAAATATTTGGAAACAGTCTTTAAAACACGTTAAAATATTAGGAATTAAACCAAAACTGGAATATGATTCAAAAGACCATAAGTAGCTAGTTTGAATAACCAAAGAGAAGGTGACCTTGAATTATATTACAAATTGATATTGGAACGACAAATCTTGATTATCTTCAGAAATACAGACATTTATACATTTATGTCACTTTTAAATTATTAGTGAAAGATTCCAGGAAAATATAATTCCATCAAATTGAAATATTGTGTTGAAGAATCTGATAAATAAGTCATCTGAGCATATTTGGCAGGCAGTTTCCATGGAGAAGGTACCCTACTTCAATTGTAACTAGATGTAATTTCTTCATCCAAAAATCACTTCCGTCCCAACCAATATTATAAATCAAACTCACAATGGTACAAAATTAAAAGACATAAAAGAAAAATTCTTTCCTTGCATGGAAAGCTCATGTATTTTTAGATGTAGTCAAATGTAGTCTCTGACAGGCTTATATGGTATAGAAATGAAATATTTTATGCCTATAACAGTATAAAATAACTATATTTATAAAAATAATAATATGTCACATGTTTTCATCCACTTTAAAAAATATACAAAGCATATAATCTACATGGGGAAAAATTACACATGAGTTATCAGAAAAAAGCTGCAGTATTTCTGTTTTATAGCTGAGGTTACCCATAGAAGAACAAATTACAGTAGTGTACACCTCTTTATTGAAAAATAACTTGTTAATTGAGTTAAAATATTAGCCCTGTTATTTGATATAATCCTTCTTCTTAAGCACTGAGCACTGCTGCTCAGGAATAATTTAATTATGATCTGCCAAAATGTAATACTAGCTAGCACAATATGCAATTTATTTTTTTTTTTGCTGCAGTTGCTTGTAATTGAAGAATCTAAATGGAAAAAGTGCATACAGTATATGCTGTACTGTGCTGCAGATTTATAAAGCTGTGAGTATAGCTTGTTATTAGTCTTATCCTGAAAAGGGAAATTGAAGACATGGCAGTAACTTGCAAGATTGAGAATGGTCTTAGGTAATGTATTTAGTAAAAGACTAATGAATGATCGTTAAATTAAGAGAATTAATTACCATTTCACTTCCAGTGAAAAAGCCTTGAAAATGTCTACTAATACTTCTTTATAGCTTTGGCCGTGCAAGTCTCATAAGGCAGATCGCCCCCTAGTGTTTCGCGAACCTCACTGAATAAAGCTAAAGATGGTCTGGAGGACCCTGGCACATGAGGAGACTTGGTCATCTGCCAGAAATCGGTCCAGAAAGTATGTCTGAATCTGTTCAGCAGCTTTTTCGCCTGGATGTTCCATTTCTGACAGACAAGTCTGCAATAAATGGAGTAACCAAGACCCGTGAGCTGCAATGTTTCATGAAAAAGCATTACCAGAGATGAGCAGCACAGGCAGCTTGATAAAAGCCACTGCAGCATATTAGACAATACAAGGCTGTCGTGTAGCCTGTCTGTGATTTACAAGTAGTTCTTGGTCTCCCTTTTCTCTCCATCTCACTGATGTTTATTGAACTGTTGGGGTTTTTTTTCCTCAGTCTACTTGGTGTTGACCTTTTTCTCAGTAATAACTCCTCTCACTCAAAAAAAACCAACCTACCAAACAAACAACAACAACAAAAAAAACCCAAACCAAGAAAATGGGGAGCTGGATGGGTGAAATTGGTAGGTTCGCCCTCTCCTAAGAAATGGATTCTTCCCTTTCTGACTTCGGGCAGGCCTTTCTGCTCTGAACTGATCTTCAGCTCAGAATCTGTTTCATCTTTTCTCCCCCATACACAGTGCAGTACTTTCTACGTTTTATTACATTTCTGGCCACTATTTGACTGTGTGTAGTTAATGAGATTCTAAAAATTAGACTGTAGCTTCTTCCTCATTTATTGCTGTCAACAACAATGAATAGATCATGCCT